AAATACCTATTTTGATAATTACATTTCAGACTTAATAAATAATTTGGTATTTATTCTATCTCAACTTCTTTACTAACCCCAACCAAGAAGCAAATATGAAATAGAAGAATTTCGACTTTCAAGATTGTGGGTTGACATTTTGAAAGTAGCAATACCCTCAATTAACATCCATAAAAACGTAGCCAAAAGCGAGAAATGGAGAATGGCAGCAATACTTTTGCAAATAGCCTACGTTAAACAGTATAACGTATCAATTAAGGTAAGGAAAATTAGAACATCGAGTAAAATGCTTTAATTTCCAATTTCTGAATTGATCAAATGTGTAACCTTCACTGTTAGGCAATTAAATTTACTTATTTATTTACTTTAATGCAACAGTCTAAATGATGGTAAGATAGACACGAAGATAAAATACATTTTAGAATTGAATACTTAGTAAGACTTATTAGCTCTTTCTAGATATGTACAATAACAAATACATGAATATAATTTGAACTATCATTTATACTTTAACGAATCAAGAATAAAACTGAATTACTCTTAAAACATAAAACTGTAGTTATCTATAGCTACTTATGATCTACCGGAGAATTTGTCCATTGGATACCAAGTAAAAATACCGTAGTAGAAATTATCATAGAAGCTGCCATATTTGCATGAATCAAGCCGCGTATGCTATGAAATTGCCTAAAAAGAAGAAGAAGTGTTAATTATCAAGTTTAAGATGTAAATTTTTTATTATGTTTATTATATAGAAGTATCGATAGATTTACTGTACATCACATGATCTACTTTAAGGTGTTCATTAAATCATCGATTTTTAGAAAACTACTCTTTGAATCCGATTAGATAAAAACAATAATTGCCTACCTGATCGCAGTAAAAGTTAAGAACGTCACTATAAGACAAAGTAGTGATATAGATAACCCGATATAGGTTGTTATGCTTAGGATTTTATCATGGATTTTCGGCGACTTTAGCAATAGTAGAGGAAAGGTATATAAAAACATTAATGTATGCAGTAAATTTAATTATTAAGTGCATGGCATTTAGCGTACAAATTGCTTTAATTTTTTTGGTTTACCGAGTAATTATTGAAACGAAGCAGAACGGAGAAACTTGTTAAATGATACGATAGACATTTTATAGTTGTAGCATTGATCTTTTCCAATTTCAAACCATCAGTAGCCCAATGGCTAAATAGAATTCAAAAATAAGCATACAGATAAGGAATATTTCAAGCAATGTAGGCCTACAGATACCGTTATTTAACCAGACGTCATTGCATAACAATGCTTCAGAAAGCTATTTATGCATTGTCTCATTCTCTTAAACCTATCTATTTACTCATTATTTATTTCACAATCTATCATCCATTGTTTTATCTTACTTCTTTTTCCAGTAGGCACAACTGGGTTGTTTGTTACTCCCCTACAATATATATATATATTACATACCAATCTCGTGAGATTATCTACTACTTTAGTAGTTAGAATTTAAAACTTGTAAAATTTTGGTAGTAAAAGGATATTATACAGCAAGAATGCAAAAAGACTGTTTGATCGTTACAGATTTACAGATTAGGAAATGTTCTGGTCACATGCTTTGGAAACATAATCTAGTTTAATTTGCTTAATCTTAATACTAACTAATATACATAACAGTTGCATTTTAATAAGCTATAAAAAGTAAAATATATAAATCGTAGAGTTCGATCCAAGTTTTGCTTCAAATTGGCTGATATATCGAGGAATGATTCCTTACCTCCTTAATTTCATAAAAAAATACAACCGGCTCTTTTAATGTTCCTTTCATTATTGGCCGAATTTGACACGATACAGCGTATTTTAGTGGCTGTTGTATTCTATAAGAGAAAGAAATTAGTGATTAGAAAAATTCATAGAAAAATAAAGTAAGATTCAAAATTAGTAATTAATAATTTCAACGTCTTCCAATTCGCAAACAAAGAAATTATTAGTTCTTACTCTTACAATAAAAATTTGTAATATGTCACGATATTAATGTAGCTATGCAAAAGCAATAGATAAGGAAAGATGATAATCATGATTTTAGTCGTTAATAATTACGAAAAGTAAAATACTAATAGAAGTGCTTTCGCATTTATCGTTAGACTGTCCGAGAAATGTAGCTTAACATTTGGCATTATAAAGTTTATTTTAACCCACATTTAAAAGAACTACTGCTGCAATTTTAATTAATTAAAGGGCCCTTTCCCTGAATTTGAATTTATTAATGCGAAATTAAAAACTAATGACATAAAATACTGAAAAGTATTTTGTCACTATTAGTCAATATAATGTTTATCTCTTATCGTAATAATTCTTCTATAATCTTTCGATTTAAAGATTTAACTTCCTTTCAAATTGATAGAAATAGGATGACATCGGTACCAATGCTGTATATCAAAATAAATTAAGATATAGCTGGATTTGATGATGTACCTATTACGTTGCTGAAATTGCGTAGATTTATAAATTCCAATCGCTATTTGAAATTGTCCTAGTAATGAATGTATTTTAGAGTGTAGAAGTAATTATATTATTAAGATCGAGTAGGATTTATAATTATAATCACGTCGGAATCAGTAGATTCGTCTTATAAAATACAGGTTATGTGATATAAATGCTAGCTAATTAATTTGAATACCTTCATATTTATTATCGATTATAGATGTAGGAACTTTAACTTTTAATGGATGACCAGTGTCAGATTCTTGTACAGCTGATACTTCTTCTTCAATGTTGATGTCAATGTATGCTGTTACCACTTTTTTATTAGTACTTGTGAGAATATACCAAACCCCTTGTTGTATAACAGCTCAATATTAATGCAAAATGACTTCATTATCGCTTTTAAGTAGCAAATATTGTACATATTTTTAGACAAATTGATAGAGCACAATGCGTAAAAATTTGGTACGGAGAGTAATAAGCTGGTAAACTATCTCAATTATTAACTAAAATTAACATTCTACTATACTTCAAAAAGTAAAAATTTACATCCTTCAGCTTATAGCGAAAAATACGAATATTTAATATCTAGAGAATTTGAAAATTTTAATATAGTAATCGCTGAATAAAAACAAAGTCAGATCAGTGAATTTAGATAAAATCAATAGAGTATAACATGTAAAAACTTGGTACGAAGAGTAATAAGCTAACAAGTAATCTCAATTATTAACTTAGATTAAGATTCTACCAAGCTCTAAATAAAAAATTCACGTACAGTACCTCAGCAAATTGTAGAAAAATTTAATGTGAGAAGATGTTAAATATTTTAATATAGCAATGGCTGATTATAAAAAATCTAATAAGCGATAGTAAAAACCACTATAGCTATATAATCATTAGCAGTGTACCCCGATTATATTAGTGGTATAGTGCATAATCTCAATTACTAACTTAAATAAAGATTTTCCTACACATCAGAATGTGAAAATTTACGTACTTCAGTAAATAGTGAAAACTTTCCAATATGTAGAGATTTTTGAAAATTTTAACATGGAAATAGCTGATTAGAAACAAAATCTGGTTAGCTATTTTAAAACCTACGACAACTGTTTGATCGACAGCATGCCTCAATTATATCACTGGTGTACCGAGCACCTTTTGTAAACGAAAGTAGAGTTAAAATTCAGTAGGTTCCGACGATAATAACCCCACTATAAACAATTCTGGTAGTATGTGTCTTTAAAAAATGTTATGTAATTTGCTATTAAATCGAAAATCAGATAGAAATAAGAGGAAATTAAATTAAATTTCAATATGACTAATGACGTACCTAATTTTTGATAATAATAAGAAACTTGAGAGTTGTTAGAATTCGCAAAGAGCGATAACTTTCCCGCTAGTTCTAATCCAGCATTATCTACAACTTCATCAATATTATCATAGGTTTGGTTTCGATTTGTTGCCACTCTAGTGGACAAAGTGCTTACAGTTGATAACATCGTTGTCGTAGTTGTACCTGTTGGATATTTCCAATTCAAATCAGAATATTGAGCGTAAAAGACAAATTGATATTATATTTATATTCTTATCCTTTATTTAATTCTAGCAACAAACCAATGTTTGTTAAAGCTTCAATAGTACGTGGATTTCTTTTCGTAATGGGAACTGTATTGGTTGTTACTGCATTATTAGTAGCAGTAGAAAAGCTTGAAGTTGTAGAATCCTCTGTAGTGGTAGTCGCTACGTTAGTAGTAACAGAAATATTTGCGATTGTAGAATCCTCTATAGTGGCTATCACTCCGTTTTTAGTAGTAGAAACGTTTACGATTGGAGAATCCTCTATAGTGGCTGTCTTTGCATCAGTAGTAATAGAAATATTTACGGTTTTAGAATCCTTCGTAGTAACTGTCGCTGCGTTAGTAGTAGTAGAAATGGTTGGAGTCGTAGAATCCTCTATAGTGGCTGTAGTTGTGTTAGTGGTAGTAGAAATTTTTTTGGTTGTAGAATTCTCTGTGGTAACTGTCGCTGTGTTAGTAGTAGTAGAAATGTTCGGGGTTGTAGAATCCCCTAAAGCAGCTGTCGCTGCACTAGTAGTAGTAGAAATTTTTGTGGTTGTAGAATTCTCTGTAGTGGCTGTCGCTGTGTTAGTAGCAGCAGGAATGCTTAGGGTTGTAGAATCTTCTACAGCAGATGTCGCTGCACTAGTAGTAGTAGAAATTTTTGTGGTTGTAGAATTCTCTGTAGTGGCTGTCGCTGTGTTAGTAGCAGCAGGAATGCTTAGGGTTGTAGAATCTTCTACAGCAGCTGTCGCTGCACTGGTAGTAATAGAAATTTTAGTAGTTATAGAATTCTCTGTAGTGGCTGTCGCCGCGTTGGTAGTAGCAGAAACGTTCAGGGTTGTAGAATTCTCCACAGCAGCTGTCACAGCACTAGTAGTAGTAAAAATATTCGAAGTTGTAGAATTCTCTGTAGTAGTAGTGGAAATGTTTGGAGTGGTTACAATAGTATTAGTAGAAATGTCTGTGGTTGAAGAATCTTCCGTATTGGCTATCACTGCATCAATAGCAAAAGAAATTGCTCCAGTTTCAGAATCCTCTGTAGTGACTGGAACCTGGGTGGTTGATTGAACCATAGGGAATGTTGAGGTGTCGCTTTCTAGATCTAATAAAAAAATTTATCATTTACTATACTGTAGATAAACATTAACAGACAATCGTTTTTCAATGAAATATTCACAATGTACATTAGAAGCCGTATGGATAATATTAAAATTTAGATTTATTACTTATAAATGATATCAGCAATTAAGCAGCTGAGATTTACTAAAATAAGAATTCTAGTATAATAGTAAAGGATATCCACCCTATCTACATCTATTGACGTATAATAAGTTAAGAATTGAAGCAGAAACTTCACGAATTATATACAATTTGTGAATGAATAGCCAGCTTAAATTAATCTTAGGCAAAAGGTAGATATCAATGCACAAAAATATACGATATACGGTAAAATGAATACATGAATCATGCATGGTATAGGTAACAATAGCTGTGAATCGATAAATTTATAAGCAATTAGATACCGTGAGTATAATATTAAAACTTAGAATTATCACTTATGATAGATATCAGCTTAAAGTTGTTAAAATTTACTATAGTTAAAATTTTGGTACTATTACAAATGATATCCATCTTCTACTTAGCTATCAATGTGAGAAAGATTTAGAATAAAAGTGGAGACTATAATAGTTTATGAATCAATAGCCAACTCAAAATCATATAAAAAATAAGCTATCAAATTATTAAGTTACAAAGAATTGGGGTAAAACGACTAAAAGAATTATTATAAAAACGGCAATAACTGTAAATCCATAAGCAACTCAAAATGATACAAATGCAGTAAATTGCAATCGATTAGTATTAAATTGTAGCTTTAAAAGAAATCGAATTAATTGCTGTATTATACCTATCGTTTTCCTGCATATTAGGTAAGCTCGATGGCTTACACAATCGACGGTATACCAAACCCAAGTACCATTTAAATGCATGTATTCCATCACTGCACATCGAAGTTGGCTAGTACCGGCAGTCGATCTAAATTCCAATTTGGAATTTTCTTGCACTGCTGTCGAATCTTGGAGCCATTGGAAAGTATTATTTACCTTATATAAGCCAATCCAAAATGAAACTCCCGTAATGTTGACTAATTGATTTACTGCTTTCTGCTCAATTAAATTTTGAGTTACTTGTTCTAAATCTATCGATGATAGTGAAATAAGATCCGATTTATGATAGCTACAGAATTCTCGAGCATTGTAAAATCTTAGTTTCTGAAATGTGATTTGGATGCAGTTAACACCGTTAATATTCCAATCTGTTGGACAATTGGTTTGAAGCTCACCTAAATAAAACAGTTATCATCAGTATTTCAAAATCCTATACATAGCTATTGGATTGCGACAACTATAAAGTATGCATTACTGGTACTTCGCAAATATAGTAATGTGCGATTTTCTATAAATTAAAGAGAACTGAAAATGAAAATTTACTACAATTAATTATGCACTTCCACAACGCATTCTATCTGCAAAATTGATTTGATACTGTAGCTTAATAACAGCTTGGTTGGAACTCACTAAATTTGCTAAAATTTTGAATCAATTCAGACGTATATCCGATGGCACCTATATCAAAAGTTCAAGATTCAAAAATAGTATTTAGTTTACATGATAACTATATATTTGAATAATTAGATATTTAGTATCTACCAAGAGTATCTTATTATACTACTATTAATCTGTACTTCAGTTTATTTATTCAATCTAGCCAAGGATAGCGATCATTGTTACGGAGTAGCTTTATAGGCGTACAATAGCTGTTAGATCAATTTCATATGATAACTTAAACAGGAACTTACTGATATGGAATTATTTATGATATCTTGCATGCTTTACTAGATAACTGGATACTTGATAATATCTATGTGCTTTAATTAATGTTTATGTGACTATAAATTAAATGATTTAAAAATGAAGCAGTTAAGATTTACAGTATTATCTGGGAGACACTTGCTGGTTACTGTGATCTCTCGACGATGAGGAATCGTCGGTATTTAGAGTTATGCTTTAGACGTGGTTTATTTTTCTCGTTACAAATTTCTATTAGCAGCATAGTACAGTAATAGTTAAAGCAAGGTCTTAAGAAGTGACATGCAACATCTACTTGTTACCATAAACGATAAAATTTGTATGAAATTTTAAAAAGTAAATAAAATAGGTGTTACTTACTCCTTTGGCAAAGAATAGAAGCATTAAGATTGCAGTCTCGAACATACCAAGAGCTTAAAAATTCATTTGATTTTTTTAACACCGTACAATTACATGAATTTTCTGGATAACAGGCATGAGCAACTAAATTGGTATAGTTGATGCTTGCCAAATTCTCGTACCACGTGAAGTTGTTCGATGTACCTTCTAATCCTATCCATACCTCATCATCGATGCCAAGAATAGATCTTATTATCATTTCCTTCTCGGCGTCATTAATAATTGCTGGATAGGCTTCCAAATTATTCTTACATCGATTTTTTCCTTGTAAGTAATTGCCAGTCGTAGTTTCAAGGTAGTAGCAATAGTTTCTATATCGCAACCAATTATCTGGACAAGTAGCTAATCAAAGTTGTGTATATATTTAGAAATGAAGATTGCAGCTTATATTATTGTAGTTTGTCATAAGAATTCATATTACTTACGGAAAATATCCTTCCCGATGGAGTCAACAATAGCAGCTGTTGTCAAACCCTATAAAGACGGTAGATACATCAATCAATATAGCATAGCGAACCTGGCTGCACTAAGTCAAGGTGATTTTTGCATCGAACTTAGAGAAGAAAAGATTTATGATAGTGTGTCAGTAAATAAATATTCGATAATCTAGTAACAGTAATTGCTGAGTTATTACTTCATTTTTTATAAGAAGTTACAGGAAATAATATCCTGAAATTATTTATGCTTATTAAAAGTCGCTTTAGGGTACCGTGACAAATTAAGTAATCATAAATTTTAATTTATCAAATAAAGAAAAAGAAGGACTTCTTGCTTGAATACAGCATGGTTTTACCGCTTATTTGTAGCTATATTTGATTAATTGAACCTGCTTAAATCGTGTAGTATTAGTTAATCGCTAGAATTTTAGAAACTGGAAGCTACTTAAACTTGTCTGCAATAATTTAATTCGGGTATGCTTGTAAATAAAATGATTAAATATAAATATTTTCTCAAACAATTATGATACTTTAAACCATTCCATATAAATATCCGATAGATTACCTCAGAATTATTTAAAGTAATAGGTGTTGCAGCTAATCAGAATAAAAGAAATGTTAGTTTAAATTACTTCAGGAAGATTAATGATCTAGCGCATTAATTCTATGTCTTTTTATAAGTTATCAGTTATTCCCTTGGCTAATGTACCTTTTTGACACAATGGATAAGCACCGATCCCAGTGCTACAAGAAGAAAATTCCCAAGTGACTCGATTTCCAGTAGGTTTCACTAACATACAATACGCATTTGGTGGTATCTGGTAGTGGTTAGTAATGTTCTCTTTACTATTCCATCGAAGCCCTTTTCCATCAGCTTTCATAGCAATCCATAGTGGGCGATTGAGTGATAAAGCTACGCTTTCGATAAATTTCATTTCGTCTTTACTGGCAATGATTGCTAAACCGCTAGAATAAGAAAACTTGCAAGATAAAAAAGCTCCAAGCCAGTATGTACCAACACCGTATGGATTCATAACTTGATAGCAGCTATCTCTAAATTGCAACCAACCAGCTGGACAAGTCATTTCTATTAGAAATCAAGCATATCAGTGATCGTAAGCAATGCACAAGAAGTTGAATAACTTTTCAAATATTACAGTACCTTGCTGACAAATAAATGGATAAAAGGATTGGCAAGGTCTGTTTTTCCATAGCAATGAATCCCTCTTTATCGTAGCACATTTACCCGATATTGGATTATTTATAGTAATAGGAGTAAATTTTTCCCAAGCAGTAAAGTTAGATGCAAGCAGATTAGGATCATCATACAACCATGTAAAATCTTTCTTACTAACACTTTTAGATAAATGACTACGTAGTCCTATCCAGACTTCCATAGTTGAGGATATTATTGAATTTAAAACTTGTGATTTCGCTTGAGATTCTACTTGAAGTAAGCGTTTACCAATGGCTTTGCAGTAATTAATTGATAAATTAAACGGCAGTAAAGTATTATGAGGACTTAAGCAAGTATTATTAAATACGATATTTGGTGCTTTGCAAACATTTTCATCTAATATATTAGAATGAGATCATTTAATAAAATTAGCTGATTTATTTATATTAGTATTGCTAACGTTCATAAGCGATAAAATATAAATTATCCAACTAAACGCTTACGCGGAGGTCGCGGGTAGCTAGCAAAGAGATAGGAAGCTAATATGGAATTCGATGTTGTTGTATTTAAATCTAAAAATAAGCATAACGACAATATTTCCTGAAATTAATATGCTCGATTAGATCGCAGTTTATGATTAATAAGAATCCAGCTTAATCGTGTTACGTATAAATTTTACACGATATTGATAAAATACACTTTTATCTAAAAGATTAGACAAGAGTTTTTCGCAAAGTGTCTGATGGGTATCAATGGCCTTTGAAATAACGATAGCCAGTAATAATTAACATTTCGCACGTTTTATAGTGTGAAAGTGCTGGCTACCTTTATCTAAGCTCGATAATTTAAATATGATGCACCAAGAACAGGTGTGATATATACCAATCACGAGATTCCAAATTTTAGAAAAATAAGGGCTTTATTGAATCTTATACAAAGATTAACTACACACAGTTCTACTCTAGCCGAATACTACTTCTAAAGACTTCTACAACGAACTAACAGAATAATCTAAAGTAGCTTGATTTTATACTTTTCGTAGCATTCGCAGCTACAATCTGCATGGCAACCTTTTACCTTATTTTACACATAGTTAAATTATTCTTAGTAAGGCTATTCTACTGCGGACCATCATTAATCCAATATGGATACGACTACAGTACTTACGTAGACATTATTCACACCAGCCAAAGTACAGTGAATTAACCATATCCTAATATATGATTTACAGTTCTATTTTTACCTATAGCCTTATTAGTAACTCACCACCTTACTGTATATAGTCACCTGTACTCTAGCATAGAGTCTCTACCACTACAGTCTATAGTTATAGCTACCAAATATCTCTTAGGATAAATATCTACCGTACATTATACTAAACATGGCTAACAGCCTACAATCACAATACTAGTTATATTACAACAGGATATACCTTTATTAAACTTACTATTAAGGCAGGACAGTAACTACAAAGACTCTTGGAGATCTAGACTGAAACTAATCTAAGCAAAATAACACTCCATAAAGGGCTTATATCGTAATACTCGTATATTTTATCCTCTAGTAAATCCTATTTTTCACTACAACTGGCACCTATGATGTATTTGTAGATTTAAAATAGCAAATGCTTGATCACGATATGTCCAGATAGATTGAAATGGAATAATACTCGTGAATTTATATAGCCAAACAACACAAATTACTGTTTCAAATTTATAATATGCTTAATTGTTAGCATTATCTAAATTTAAGCTACTACTAAAGCATATCACTACTAAAAAAATATTGTTATAATTGTAATGTGAAGTTCAATTAATGAAGACTATAAGACTATAAACATTAAGCATTTTATATATAAACGTATTGTACATATTACCCAAGTAAGAAACATGAAATTCAATGCATTGAAATCTTAAGTATCTTTTAATCAAACAACCTTTGAAATACATAATGCTAGGGCAATTTGTCAATCTGTCAAAGCACTAAAGAATTAAATTAAACTGTTGGCTTTAAAAAATCAAATTCAACAAACCTATTTGGCAAATGAATCGGTAAGGATCAGAACATCTCAAATTCTTCCAGAAAAATGTACCAAATATCTCGAAAACTCCAGTACATAACTTTGATGGATCAACAACGATATCCTGATACCATAGATTCCAGTCACCAACGCTCGCATTGCTATGATGCCATACAGCATTGGCAAAAAAACCACTAGAATCTTGTATTCCAATCCAGAATATCGCTGATGGAGCATTTTCTGAGATCAGCATATTTCTTATAACAGTATTTTCATTATGTCCACTGATTTCAAGTAAACTACCGCCGTAGGTATCTCGACAGTAATTGACTGCAGCTTGGAATGTTAGAGTAGTCTGACTAAAGAAATAACGTTTGGAGTTATGACTGTACCATAGGTCGTCTACAAAGAGAAAGAATGGAGTCTTTAGCGTATGGCGTATAGTAATGTTTACTTGAATTAACCGGATTCATATACATATATAGGAAGGAATATAGATTTTAATCTTATTCAAGTGTCATCGTATATAGAAAACAGGAACAGTATCCAATGATACATAGGAGCTAAATAAGATATTAAAATTTTACTCTTGCCTTTAGAATATGAATGAAATAGTCATTAAGGGTAATAGAAAGAATTTATATAATTAACCAACCTCAAAATCATAAAGTAAATACAAAGCTATGCACTGTTGCTACTAGTATACACTTAAATTTCAATTTTTGGGGATCTAATTTTATGTATTTATAACATTAATTGATAAGAAGAGTTACTCACATCAATACAGAAGGATTTATATCAGTACAGAGACCTTATCTTAATTGTGTTAATGTCATCAACCTTATCTAATAAAATCATTAGTAATGTGTAATATGCAATGTATAGTGTGAATCACTAATGCATAATATCGCTGTATATAAACCAAGTTTTTACTTATTATAGTTTAGTTCCTCAATCTCTGGTCTTGACACTGATCGCCCAACAAACGTAATAAAATAGCCTATTGTTATCTAACAACGTTTAGATTACTATGAATATTATTCCAGTGTTATTAATTGATGTATAGGTATATTTTCCAACTAATTATTAGATAACTTTATATCGCTGCCGATATTAGAAGTTTTGTCTAGAAAATGGATGTACTATAACCTTTCTTTGTAAACATTTTTTTTCAGTTATAGTCAATTATTCACATGCTCGAGGCTAAAAAAGGCAAAGCGTCGAATCTTTGCAAAACTATTTCGTAAATTTTGATGCTGTACTGAAAAAACCAATAAGCCTGGCCTAATTTCATCATTAATGTAATACAAAGCCATATTCTATTAATTTTGAGATATTTATTAATGGAAAACTTAAACTCACTTCAAGTTTGAAATTAAACTGTACCTGCTGTTGATACCTGCTTGCAAGTAATTATGGCCAAGAATAAAATACAGCTACCCATTAAAATTAATGGATGAGTGAAAATCTGTAATAGAACGATTAGATTCCTTAGTAGATGTAAATAATGATAAATATTAATTTAATTATTTTATTAACATTCTTCATACTTGATTGAATCAAATAATGTTAGTCGTTAGCAATATGTTCATAATGATGATATTTTATATCAATAGTCTCTTATTTCTGTAAAAATCTTTAAAAAATTTTTCGATTTTGCTGTTGTTAAATGAGAAATATCAGTTTATATCGCTTCACATGTTACTTAGTTTGCATTTTTGTAGGTTATGATCTCTATCGCTTTGTTTACTAATTTCGTTACGACGGCTAATTATTTTAAAAAATATTAATCATTAAGGATTAAGTTCGTGAGTTGCAAGTATAAGCAATTAATTACGTGACTAATAAAGACATAGAGGGAAATGGAAATTTATCTTTATAAAGGCAAAAACAAACTCCATAATATAAAGAGCATCATTAAGTTTTTTTTCATGTCTTCTTATAGATCTCATAGTAATCCAAGAAAAAAGCAATCTTAGAAATTTATATATATATATGAAATACATCAACATTAAATAGAAATAAAATGTTTCAATGTAACTACTTCTTTAATCCGTTGCTAAAAAAATATATTCTCATTGATTTTATGGCATGTGTAATTTTAGATTAAGGGCACTATTAGAAAGCCAGTATATTTAAATTGTAAGATAATAAAATAAAATATATGAATAATGGTCTATTCCTTCCTTATGTTATAGATATAAAAATGATTTTTAAATAAATCCATTATTAAGATTTTTAAAATTAAAATGGAAGCACGCATAGAAATCAACGTCGTTGGTAGAATATCGAAATTAAATGGATTCAATTAGCATATACCTTTTAACTGCTTTCGTTCTCATTAACATTAGATACTGTACTAATTTTAAAATATGGGTAAATTGATAAACCATGTGTAAGCCAAGTGAAGGATATTCTTGGACGCTGTTTCTGTATTATAGATATACAGATGTAGTGGGATCGAAAACAAGAGCTAATGAATAAGGTACACTTGAGAATCTCGTGAGAATTCAATTGGTATCTTTTATACGTCTATTCTGCGAGGATGTTTGTTAGCGCAATTTTAAACGTACGCTAGGTAAGTACGGCATTAATTTATGCTACGCTTTACTATATAAATAAATAATTTCCATTATGATATATTTACAATCAAAATAATTTGCTTTTATTTAGATTTCAAGATGACAGATTGCTTAGGAAAATATTGCAGTAAAGTTTAAGTCATTTATCTTATATGATCAATATTATTGTATTTACGATGCTAGAACCAAATTAACATTTTGCTAAATGAAAATGATTTCCTTGAGCTCGTAAGAACCAATAACATTCGATTGCTTCAGTCTTTGATTATAGTTATCAATCCTTAATCTTCGTAATGCAACTAATTTACTATCGAAAATGTCCCGCAAATGATATAACTGTTGGACTAAGTTTACGCTCAAAATAAAATTTTCTGTACCAAATCAACTATAAGGATCTATATTTATTTGTGGTAGCAAGACTAAGTAATCTTGGTTAAGGCGTTGATGGATATTTTTTTGTCTCTTTCATTCCGAGGCAAAACAAATTATATTTATAACGCTGGAATATCATTAATCGTTTAGTCATGCATCGATCCGTAATAGCTATATTTCGTTCCTACTTGACAACGTTAATTTGTCGATATCTTTTAACTCTGCTATTTCGTAATATTAACATCATTGATGCTTAGCATTCCAAAATTATGTCGCATAATAACAGTACAGTACTATTCAAATAAAGATAGCGTTAGATATGCCAAAAGATATTGCCAAGGATTATTACCGATGTTATGCAGCTCATAATAGGTGTAAACTGAAATGATCAAAAATACTACTCATTCGCTCGTATATTATTTAAGAATGATCTAGCATACAAGATATTGTTTAGTTTTGGTTAATGTATATAGATATTTTCCAAAGTTACTTACCGATTGATATCTACAACCTAACATATTCAGAGGCTTTTATTTCATAATCTGTTAAGATATCGAGTAAACAGATTTTTCAAGTTAGATAATTGAAAAGTTTATAGCTACCAGATGTAAACTTAGCAAAATTTTAAAAATTTATTAAATATTGAATTTATGTTGCCTTCTATTAGGATTTCTAATGGGCATGGATCAACTTATCCGATTAAAAAATTTTTTTAATGTATCATGTAGACGTAAAATAAATAGAAATACAAAATTTCTTCTCACCAAGTTTGTGCTAACCATTGGCAACCTTTAATAATATTTTGATAATGATAATGAATCAGTGTATCTTTTTATTTTATTGCAGATCTAATAAATGCATAAAATATATTTCCTATATCAGCATAATAAGTAAATAAAGAGATGCGTCTACATTCAATACCGAACTACTTATTAATTTTACAAAGACGTTCATTTACATATAAATGTCAAAGAAATTTTATTTTATGACTAAATCATATCTTATTTATTCTTAATTATATAGGTATTAAATTATTTCTGATACAAAGTATAGCAGTAGTAGAATGCGTAAATGTTTTAATTATTTATCTGCTAAGAATTCATTAATTAGTAGCAATAGCCAAACTTAATAGAAGCTTTTGAATTAATTGTCGTTTAAGAAAGGTATTGATATTTACAAACAACATCTGCTCTGATTACGTTGTAGCAGCTGTTTTCGGTTTACGTAAAACTTCTTGAAAATCTATTTGTTGTATTATCAAATAAAACGAATAAGATATCAAAATGACAGCGTCTTAGCTTCGTCATGTGCGATCTAGAGCCCTTCGATCAGCTCTGTATATATATTAGCATGGAATTTTAATCAGCTTATTAATCGAATCAGGAAATTTATGAATGATTCACTTTAAACAATTTTACCTGTGGCACAAATTCAATTTCATTCCATTTAATACGCAACTCCTGTTAATTATAATATACGCTAACAAGTAGCATAAATTTAAGGAACAAAGTTATTGCTTATAATTCTTATGGAACCGAATGAACATGAATGGGTGTATCTTCAATTAAGTTCTTATCGAATATAATGAACTAAGAAACGAAGTTTCTGTACCGTTCTATGATTGATTTGTTGATAACATAATCACTTACTAATGTAAAGACTTAATTAATTAAGTTACTAAATTTTTGTAGAGATATGGATAGATTAATTGCCATTGTAGTATGGCAGACATCAATTTATATAGGATAAACATGTAACAGTAAAAGAATATTAAGCAATTGCAGTAAGGTGAACTTACTACACAAGTAGCCAAACTTATATTTAGTTTCTTATGTAATTTATATTATTACTATTCCTTATTCAGATTATCTATTACCAATAACTCATGGCTGATATTTTAGTTGACTGGTTATTTGTGATCTGCGGTACACATTTCACTCCATATACCAGAAGATAATATTTTAATAAATCAATTAATTTTATTTGATGATCTTGAAATGCTAGGATCATTAAGATTGGATTTATATAGTTATTTCAATTAGTAAAGTGATAAAATTATCCCCATATTTTAGTCCGGATAATAATAATAATTTAGTAGTTATACCAATATACTTCCAACTTACACTTATAATAACTGTAACAGGAATTCCATAGTCGGGAATAGATAGTTACCAGGTGTGATAATAGCGAACTCAAAGCGTAAAATTTACTAATTAATTTATAAAAGTATACTGTGCATAATTATATTAATGATTATGAATATGTACTGTTGTGACTGTTGAAAAATATTAATTAATATACAATTACTTTGTTTATTAACAGATTTTCGGAGGTGCTATAGAGTTATTGTTGCTAAAACTATTAATTTATTTATCAAACGATTAAAAACAATCTCGATACTGTAAAGAGGATTGCCATAAATAAAATGTGATTTGAGTAGCAGATTCGATGTATGGTGCTGAGTTAAGCTAAATAGCTAACAGTATAGTAGAATAATAAATTTATTGATCAAAATATTGTCCGAAGGATAAGAGGCAGACTAGTACCGATTATATCAGTGCAGAGATAAAAACTAGAACAGAAATTCCATTTTATATCAAGTTATGAAGTAGTTTTGGTAGATCGATGAGATAAAGAATACCCATTTTATACTATCTCCTTGCCTCATAACTTTGTTCTTAAGAACAAGTTTAAACCAGCAACTGATACCTTGGTATGGCCATAATCATTTTCAGCCAAAGAAGTGCTCGGCAAAATAGCACATGGTATACCTAACGAAATAAAAATTGATAATAAATGTGATAACATTTAATTTGTATATTGAATAAATCTAGTATTTGCACTGTTAAGTCCATCCAATCATCAATGAGGCAACTATGCAAGATCGCTTTTCTAGCCAGCTGGCGGATATTGTGAATGTTACTAAGCCTCTTATTAAAAGCCAAGTAGCAGATACCACAGGCGAAAATTGAAGAATAATTGCTTAACACTGGTATAAAGTCAGCAACAATTACGAAGACGACACATTGAAATACTGATAGTTTGGCTCGAACCATGTTTGTACTGCTTGTTGAAAGCAGTTTTCGAATGTAAGACACACCGTACAGTGAATCGGACTTTGTTAATATGAAAAAATGTTATTAATTAAATCTATTTATTCATTAGCATAATTGCTGTCTATAGCTTTTATACGTCTAAATTTAATTTTTGTATAACTAGATAGTTTACTGGATTGCACTCTATGACCAATTATGATTTATGAATAGCAATGGGATAAACCAAAAATCATTAAGCACAATAAATAAACCAGTAAATTTGCAGGATTCTCCAATGTAAATAAATCTGACTTTAAATAGTTACCACATTTCGCTAGTTTAAAAAGGGATTGTAATTATAAGTAGGCACTTTCGTAATGAGGTGTTAAGCGATCTTATGTATATATATATATATATATATATTAATGACTATATTTGATAAGTTACGGTAACTATAAAGCTATAGCATTTTCTAAGGTAAATGAGTCCGAAATATGCTATATAAATGTAATACCCACACAATCTATAGTAACCGATTGGTTTTAAATAAATAAGAATACATACGGTTATGCACTGTATCTTTTCTCTTAAAATTCCGAAATTAATGTACAGCAAAACACATGAAGGTCTTTTGACTATGGGGATGCTAATTTACCGAACCGGCACTGATAAATTGAGTCCAAAATCGTTGGTTTTACAACCCTGTGATATGTACCAATCACGAGATTCCAAATTTTAGAAAAATAAGGGCTTTATTGAATCTTATACAAAGATTAACTACACACAGCTCTACTCTAGCCGAATACTACTACTAAAGACTTCTACAACGAACTAGCAGAATAATCTAAAGTTGCATGCTGTTATACTTTCCGTAGCATTCGCAGCTACAATCCGCATGGCAACCTTTTACCTTATTTTACACATAGTTAAATTATTCTTAGTAAGGCTATTCTACTGCGGACCATCATTAATCCAATATGGATACGACTACAGTACTTACGTAGACATTATTCACACCAGCCAAAGTACAGTGAATTAACCATATCCTAATATATGATTTACAGTTCTATTTTTACCTATAGCCTTATTAGTAACTCAACAGCTTACTGTATATAGTCATCTGTACTCTAGCATAGAGTCTCTACCACTACAATCTATAGTTATAGCTACCAAATATCTCTTAGGATAAATATCTACCGTACATTATACTACACATGGCTAACAGTCTACAATTACAATACTAGTTACATTACAGACCCCTAAAGTTCCTAAATTAGGTGTAAGCATTGACTGTCATAAGCTGGGTTTGAGTGTAACAAGAGGTCTTACTCTAGAACACCAGTGAATATAAAGACTAGTCTTATAAAACATGAATAACCGTAGTTTAACCCTAATTATAATGTGAGTAGCACACCTTAGCCTACTTAAGTTATAATAATTGAAGTTTTATAATTACAGTAAGAATCTATATAGTCAAGATTATATAGACCCTAGTTAACACACGCTAATGACTAGATCAGATCAGAAGCATCCAATACTACGTAACTTGGTATTAGGATTGTAGACTATTAGCCATATTTAGTAGGATGTACGCCAACGCGACTTTCTATATTTATCTTAAGACATATTTTATAGCATATGACCATGGACAATAATGGAAGATTCTATGTTAGAGTACAGATGACTACAATACGGCATCGAGTTACTATTAAGCCTTTAGAAGTAAAAGTAAAGCCGCAAATCATATTTTAGGTTATGATTAGTTCACCATACTTTGACTGGTAGAAACAATGTCTACGTGAATACTGTTGTAGTTTTCCAAATTGGATTAATGATGGTCCGCTGTAAAAGGCTAATACTAGTAATAATATCTGATCGTGTANATATGTTAGAATGTTACTTACTATGCTGAGTGTAGCTTCGAATGCTCCGAAAAGTATATAGGCTGGCAACTAAAATTATTCTAGTAGTTCTTTCTAGAAGTGTTTAGTAGTTGTATTCGGCTAGCATAGAGCTGTGCAAACATTATCTTCGTATAAGATCTAATAAAGTTCCAATTTTCTATAAATTTTGGATTTTCATGATCGTTTATATCAAATGTAATAAAAGCAATTTTCGGATTAGAGTTTGACTTCAAACAGCTAGTTTTTACAGAAGGCTATGATTTAAGATTAGTATGTCTGCCATTTTATCTCATATGATTACATCAAAGGGATTAAAACTTAAGATTACAGGATATAATCAAAAGACCATATTTGAGATCAGTAAGTTAAGACTTATTTTTATTGAAGGCTTTGATTATGTTTGTCTTACGTTAACTGTTTGATAGTGCGCGCTTGCCACTAAAACTTTTTGTATCATTTTGATTGCTTTTAATTGTTATATCTAGACATTACTATTTTAATTCTTCAAAGTACGTGTGTCACAACCCTCACTTGTGGCAAAGGAAAGTAAAGAACTCTAGTGTAGTTATATATATATAAGTTACATACACTTAAGACTTGTAATCATAAAAGCAAATTTTAAAATTTCAAAACAGATATCCCAGCTATAGCATACAGTATACTAATTTCTAATAAGAGAATTTAGTATCCGACGCCCACATAAGAAATAACTCTTGGAAATTAATATTGTCATCTAAGGTTTAAATAGTTAGGTAGATCTACAAATACATTCCGTAAATAATAAATTACTCGAATCTTTTCTTGTAGTGATTTCAGCTAATTACAGTAGTTTGTATAGGCAATACAGTGATAGTATGTAGTATAGAACTGTATGTCTTAATAAAGTATGTGTTATATAAGGGCGTAGCTGATAGCCATATTAAGTAATGTTATTAAGCAATGTACTAATGCGATTGATGATTCCTACGTAGAGGAGCAATTGATGATAATTTGTATAAATTGCATAGAATTATTATCGTGGAGGCTAAGTCGATTATACGGTTTATCTTAGCCACTTTTCGACTATTATTATAAGGGGAAGAAATTGGAATTCTTCTCCGACGGATGACTCACAGTCGTTAATAAACTTAACTGTTATAAGTCAATGATACGATGTAGACTATTTTGTGTCACATTAGGGATTTGCTCGATTTTAACAACTCAGAATTTTGAGTTGACGGATTACGAACCTAGGGCTAATAATCCGTACACTACATTTCTTAATATAATTAATATTAAGAATTGAACATATTTTAAGCGAATGCTACAATAGTGATAGCGAATTAGATTTCTAGCATTTTTAAAAGCTTTATTGAGTAAAAGAAAGATAAACGAAAATTTTGATGATATTTATAATACGTTTAAATATTCGAAACTGAAGCAGAAACTGAATACTGCTAAAATGTTTACCAGATTAATTTTTAGTCTAAGGACCAAGCCACTTATAGCAAGCTAATTATCAGTAAAAATTAAACTTTATAGAGCTCATATCTT